AGGGAGAGAGCCAGGAAGGCAGGCCTCTTCTCTGGGCCTTGGATGGGCCACTGCAGCAGAAGCAATTGCCTTTCCCATGGCAAGAAACAGGATTTGCAGCCATGCCAGCCCAGTCCCTCCCCAGCACACAAACATATGTCTATTTGCCCTACATAGGCCTGTTTGATCAAGAAAAAATTTGTTTCTAAAATGTTTTGTAAATATTTACGAAATTTCGTAAATAACAAAAGATTTTTTTGGAAAGTTTTGTAAATATTTTAAATATCGAAACAAAAAAACACCCCAATTAAGAATCGAATTTAGAAACAAATTTTTTCTTGATCAAACAGGCCTACTAAACATCCGTAAGAGGAAATGGCAAACCCATTTCACAATTTTGAATTTCTGCATCTGCTTTATTGTTTTACTACCACTGTGGTGTTTTTCTCCTTCTTCTCCTCCCCCACCCTTCTCTGTCTGCCTGAAACACATTAGTAGATGATAATCTAGAAAATTTATTTATAAAGTACTCCTTTTCTATTCTTAGGAATGGTGGGAGAGCATTCAAAATTATATCCATCAATCAGTTACCTGAAGTCCACAACCCACTTTAATTCCAAATATACTTCCACCCCCTTCTGCTGCTACAAAGGAAAATACAGACTGCTCTTAGACTTTAAGGTGTTTCAAACAACTTCCCTTTTCTAGTTTATATCATACTTGATCACAGTTACAGTCATACTAGATTTGCAGAAACTAGAGTGGGGACTTGGTTCTCGGGGTTTTTTTTTTGTCGTGGTAAGAGAATGTGTGTGTGTGTGTGTCTTTGTGTATATGCAGTATTTACCTTATTTATGAAAAGTTATTTTTCAGTTTTGGAGGGTAGTTGAGACAGTTGTAGCAAATTCTATTTGTGTGCCAGACTGTAGACATTTTCCCTCAACTTTGAGTAAATTGGGGAAAGGCCACATAAAGTGGCCTTGCCCCATATTACCACAGATCGGTTCTGTGCTGGTCTACATCTACACCAACCAAAGTGTTTTGTGGCATCATGCCAGCAGGGGGAAAAGGCTGCAGGTGACTCTTTTTGTATCATGAAGAGAACTGCTTCTTCTCATCAGGACAGGAAGGGTCCTGGTAGAAAATGTGAGGTTGTTGTTTCCATATAGCCTTGATGCCCTTGAAACCAGGTGTTTTGGGAAGTCTGACTTGAACAACTGCCTTTCCTCTGGCATAGAAAGAAGCCAGCTTCTCAATCCATCTTCTCAGAACACTTCATTCAAGCCAATTTCTCAGAGCACTTTGGCTCTAAGCCTTTTACCATCCCACAGCCAAGATACATAGGCTTAGAGCTAGCAGTATTCCCCTTCCCAGTGATGACAGCTGTATCTTTATTCACTGCCACTGTATGACCAGGGGGTCAAAGTTCATCCAGTCACCAAACTGCTTGTTATATAAGTGAAGTGTTCTACATTAGATAATCAACCTGACCAAGAATCATTGACTCAGATTAATGAACAAGTATAAAAACCTTCTAGGGAAAAATCTTCCCATATTGCAGAGAAAGCATCCAGTTGGGGCCCCAGAAATCACATGACATTGTGTGACAGCTGTTGAAGGGCTCCATCCCCAAAGAAGGATCTAAGCATCCTAGGACACTTATTTTCAGCAATGTGATGAGGTCCTTAATTTCAAAGCAAAGAGAGAAAATAACATTATTTTTCTAACTTTAAATGCACATATTTTAACAATCCTGAGAATACCATGGGAAATCGTTAGTTTAACCAGAGGTAGGTGTAATCAGTAATCATAGATTTACATAATTAGTGTGACAGCTTTCAATTACATAATTATTGTAAATATGTGCAATGATGCAATTAGGCTTTGTAATTACAATGTGTAACTACATAATTAGGTGTTATGGCATAGTAAACTCTTGTGAAAGAAAGCAAGGACCTACTTACATTTGTGCTAGAGTTTGCAGGAATAATGTTGCTGTGTGACTAAAACTGAACATTTTAATATGAACTCTGCCAAAGCTAGTTTATGTTTATAAAGCTCCAGTAGGTTCTAAAATGTAAGTAAAGTACTTGGGATTAATGTGAGTAGCTTCCTAAATGATGTTTCAATGCTCCTTAACTGAAAAGGCCTCAACAGCTAAGATGATGTAGTGGTTTGGGGTGATGCAGCAGAACTTGGGTTCATAGTCTAGTACTGCTGAGCTTCTAAGCCCTTCCTTCTGAGTTGAATGATCTAAATCAGGGGTCCCTAAATTAGGGCCTATGCAAACCTCCAAGGTCATTTACCCAGCCCTGCCCTAAACTTTAGACTTAAGGTTGCCCTAAGTCTGAAATGACTTGAAGGCATGCAATAACAACAATAACAATCCTAATTAACTTCACTATCTTATCAATAAAAATCAGACCTATATCTCCCATTGAAATACTGGAAAGTTTATGTTGGTTCAAAACAGTCTTCATTTAAAATATAGTACTGTTCTTTCATGTATTTTCAGTGTGTATAGGAATTAGTTCATTTTTTTTTCAAACTATAGTCTGTGTAGGGCAGTGGTTCTCAACCTGGGGTCCCCAGATGTTTTTGGCCTTCAATTCCCAGAAATCCTAACAGCTGGTAAACTGGTGGGGATTTCTGGGAGTTGTAGGCCAAAAACATCTGGGGACTCAGGTTGAAAACCACTGGTGTAGGGGTTCAGCCTGCGATTGTCTCTTTGCCACAGGACTCAAAACGAGAATGATCATGACCCTTCAGAGGTTCCCATGTCTGACTTAAATGAACAGTTTTTTTTATTCTCAGGGGTTTGTGAATGCAGATGATGGCCAGAGTGAAACTGAGGATTCTGGGATCATTGGTTCACAAGGCAAAGATGTCTGGAGACAGCCTGAGAAAGAGGCTGAGGCCGAACAGTCGTTAGATAGAGATAGCAAAAGGAATTTACTAATGAGCAAATCTTTGATCACAAAGGGCAAATTTATCAGGATCGCCACCTGATTTCCTGATTACACCTACCTCTGGTTAAACTAACAATTTCCCATGGTATTCTCAGGATTGCTAAAATATGTGCATTTAAAGTTAGAAAATTTTAGGGAGGATTTAGGGAGGAGGCGCTCAGCAAGATTAAGAGAAAAAAAGGGGTCAGGGAGAGGTTTCTCCAGGGAAAGGAATGCTTTTGCTATGGCTTTCTGAATAAATATAGGGCTTGTGAATCTATACTCTTCAGTGAGTCCAATGTTTAGTTTTCATGCCTGCTCCATGCCTTCTTGTTCATGCTAAGATTTATGTATAATCTTGCTTCATATCCATGTTCATGCTGAGATTTTTGTAAGTTGTTTTGTCCTGATTTCAAGCTCCTGCATTTGGATTGTTTGGTTCAAGTTTGCTCCTGTTTCTTCAAGGGACTTTGGTCTTTGCAACCTTTTGGACTGAAAGACTATTTTCCTGTGGACTTGTTCATTTGGATTTTGGGACTATTCTGTTTCCTGACTTGGTTTTGCCTGGATATCCTTACATTGCTTTATGGATGGTTTTATGGACATTTCCTTATTTGCTATTTGAATGCTTTTTACCTTTGTGATTATTGCTATATTAATCTTCAATAAACTGCTTTGTTTATTAAAGAACATTCGTGTATTTGCGGGTTCAAAGGTGCCTACCACAGCCTTGGTGTGTAACAGTCTGCCCCCTCCCCAATAGTCTGAGGGACTGTGAACCGGCCCTCTGCTTACAACGTTTGGGGATCCCAATCTAAATGAAGCAATTCAATCTGAATTCAATTCAATTTGTCCGAATAAATAAAAAGTGGATGAATGAATATCAGGCCCTTTGTCCCTTATCTTTCTATGTATCAGAGCATATCCTAAGAATTAAGTGTGGGCAAGCATAGCATAATAACAAAAGACTCCTCTCCCCCAAATTTACCAGGGGTGAGAATCACCCATCATGCAAAATATTAAACTACAGCTTCTAGAATCCCTATCCAACAGAGCCAATATAGATACAGTGGAAAACTGAGATAGTTGCACTTGCTGTATATGAATGGGATGGCCTGCAGTTGCCCACTCAGCATGTATGATCAAATTAAAATTGTGTAGTTTAGGAGACTTGGAGGCAACATGTTATCAAAGCACACATTTATGATCTCACTCCAAGATACTCTCAGTGTAATGTAAATATCTGAATGTGGGTCTATGCCACACTGAACAATATTATCACACCCCCCCCCCCCCCGACGTTCCTTGAAGCCACAGTAAGCAGGCAGGGTTGGAGAAGTATCTGGCTAAATCCTCATAGTCAATGATTACAAAAGTGCTGAGATTCCTACAGATCTCAATGCTGATGTCATTACTGTGCTGCGGTGCTGTAGCTAAATGTTTTTCCAACCTTGTCTTCATCATACTAACAGCCATGTAGCATGCTTTGAAGGGCTTTACAGAAAGTTATTGAAGGGATTTTGGTGGCTATAGAGAGAAGAAGGGAGTAACAACCCCTGTAGGATCTAAAAAAGAACACCTGCAAGCACAAGGGACTGTTTTAACATGTTTGTACGCCCCTAACAAAATTCTGCACGAAACATATTTTTCTTTATGCCCTACTTTCATTTCAACTCTGAAATAAGATGCAAATGAGGTAAAGGAAATAAAAGTCAAGGCCACTGAATATGTTCCATGTCTGCTGCTGAATATAAATCTCTTACTTAAACTGGAAATCAGGAGGACTGAAAAGTTCAGTGGAGTAAATGGGAAGGACAACAAAGAACAGAATGGGGGAAATCCTCTGATCTCTCCTGCGGTTTAGCTGCAAGATGATGAGAGATTTAAAATGAGAGCACCCTTTAACAAAGTATTTATCTAGGATCACAGGCATCAATCTAAGACCTGGATAGAAGACATTGCATATCCTGAATATCACCTTAATACAAATAACTTTGCATCATATTAAAATTTAGTAGGTTTCACTTATTTGGCAAATGCAGTTTAAATTGATGCCGCATAAAGCATACTTACTGTACTGACAGTTCCTTCCCATGAATTCCCCCGGACATTCACAGGAATAGTTGGCCACCAGATCTGTACAGATGCCACCATTCTTGCAGGGTTCAACTTCGCATTCATTCACATCTATAAGGAAGTACGGAGACAATATTAATTGCATATCTGCATTTCATAACCAGATATCTGACAATTCCAGCAAATGTACTAAAATATTCTCAAGCAACATTATCACAATAATGAAAATTCCACAGGCTTTTTCCTTCTCAAATAAATAATTAAGGGCTAGACAGTAAAAAATATGCATAGTGCAATATATCCAAACTTTTATTTGAACTAGTTCCAATAAGAGAGAACCTAGCACAGTGCAGCTCTTTGTGCATTGAACAATATGGAGAAAAGGATTCAAATACCCAGCCTTGGAAACCCATTGGATGACCTTGGGCAAGTCATATTCTCTCAACCTTAGAGGAAGGCAAAGCCTTTCTTGAGCAAAACCTGTCAAAAAAGAAAACCCTATGATAGGTTCTCTACTATATTATGCCAGCTCGAACTGTGGTCTTTAGTCTATGCAAACTGAAGCCCTTCCTATACTATTTTAATAGCTATGCTACAATCTTAGAAGTGGGTCAGCAAAGTTTTCCTACCCACAGGGCAGACACAGTACAATGCCCTGCTAAGTTTAGAGGTTTTTTATAGGAATGACATGCATAGATGTCCCTATAAACAAAAGGTATTCTCAGAAGGAATCCTGACTCAAGTAGAATGGATTTTGTCTAAAGAGGACAAACCCTTTATTGCCTGAAAACCTTTCAAAATTGTATGAAAAAGTTAATATCTCTTCCCATTTCAAATTGCCTTTAATATGTACTACGATAGAAATCTTATTAATTCAATTAATATATTTCTTGTGTAATTCCACATATTAAAAGATTATCTTCAAGGCACTAATTCCATAATTGCCCTTTAGCTTTATTACCAGTATTAAATTTTTATGTAACTAGTACTTTGATATATGATTTTTTTTTGTTTAAAAAAACTGGAAAAGTGACTGCATGAAAGAGAATCAAAGTGTCACAGGGCATTATTCAAGCACACTTGCACATTGAATGACAGCCTGCATTCAAACTATAGCTGCCTACAATCTGGGTCTAGCAGAACCAGTGATAAGAAAGCAGTCACCAGAAGCCAAAACTAGAATACTGCACCCTCACAACCTGAATTCTGATAATGACAGTGTAAATTATTCTGTAAGAGCATATTAGGTTTCATGAAAACACAATATAGCTTTTAAAAATGCATGGGGATTGCTAATAAATGAATAATTATGCATTTCTCAAGTAGAAGAAAGATTTAGGCAAACATAGACTGCATTAGGAGGTGGCTTAATGCAGAGCATAAATTCACTTGTGAGAAGTTTATAAAGCTTTCATCCTTTGGCAAATATCAATTTAAATCCCCATGTGTATAATAGATGTTTAACTACATATCATGCCAAACAAATGTCTATGACTAACCTTTTAAAAGCAAGAAAAACTTTAAAACATTTTATTCTTTTGAATCTTTTCCCACTAAGAATTCAATTCCAATGATACAAACTTTCTGTACAAGGACTGACATATGGACACCATTTTAAATGTCATGTTTCTATATGACTACCTCTGTGACTATTTTATAAATATTGAAGTCTCATGGAAGATAAAAATCACAATAGATATGAGGTTATGTCAAGAAACAGTATATTTCTGAGAACTGAAATTTACCACAATCATTTCAAATATAATTTTGAGTCTAGTAACAAAAAGAAAAGGGATTGTATTGTCGAGTCTAGTAACAAACAGAAAAGGGATTGTTCTTTAAAGTTCTGTTTTTCAGCTCCCCAGAAGCGGTTGTTCAAAATCAAGGAGTCACTTTTTCATTGCAAAAGAAGGCAACAAAGAAGGTACTGATTTATATCAAGTGGGCATATACTATGTTGTGTGTTCACCACCTCATCACATGGGGTGAATTTAGTGTCCTTGAATGCTGCCAAGACACTTCCTCCTTCGAGCTCACCGGACAGCATCATACAACTTGCAGCATGGCTCCATGGAGGTTGCATCCTGACAGTGGGGCAGGACACTTCCCATGGAACATGGGAGGTTTCTTGTGTTCTATTGTGAACCATGCGATTAGCATGGGGGAAGTCACTTAGTGGCACTTCCCCACATGGAATGAGAAACTATCGTTGTGGGCAAGGCAGGGCATGGGGCACTGGGATTGCCACACTGCCCTGCCAATTCACCACAGAAGGTGGGGAAATCATCCTGTGGGACCTGATCTATGTGATGAGGTCACTACATATAATTTAGCTGAAGGTTGTCCCCTGACATTAAGTCCAGTCATGTCTGACTCTGGGTTGTGGTGCTCATCTCCATTTCTAAGCCGAAGAGCCGGCGTTGTCCATAGACAACCTTCAAGGTCATGTGGCTGGCATGACTGCATGGAGCACTGTTACCTATTGATCTACCCACATTTTGCATGTTTTTGAATTGCTAGGTTGGCAGAAGCTAGGGCTGACAGTGGAAGCTCACGCCGCTCCCCGGAATCGAACCTGTGACCTTTCGGTCAACAAGCTCAGCAGCTCAGCGCTTTAACCCACTGCGCCACCGGGAGCTCCTAATATAATTTAGAAATACTTATTATAGTTTAACTTGAAATATACTACATGTTATAATGTTTGAAACTATGATCTCTTGTCTTTTTTATTTCTTTTTTCTATAAACCAGAAAAATCTCTTAGAACCAGAAAGCAGTCCTAATTATAACTTCTTGGAACTTAACAAAAATTCTATGCTGAGCTGAACAATGAGGAAAAGGGTATTTCATATAGCACCTTAAACCATATAATTTGGTTTGGGCAATTTCAAGGCCACATTAATAATGAAAAAATATTGAGAAAACTGCATATTTAGTTGAGGTGTGCAAAATTTCAGTGTCAATTCATGTCATATAAATTTGTATAAATTTGCACTAACAAATGGTACTTATAATTCAAACCTGAGGCCCTCTGAATTAAAACAAAGCAGTCCCCTCAAAATTCTGGATTTTTTTTGTTACATTTCATTCATATTTCATTGATGTTTTTCAATGAAGACTCCATGGGATCAAAGGGAAAGGTGAGGGAGCTGCATCACATGCTCTTTCTCAACCAATTACAGTTTGGACTTCAAGTCCCAGAAATCCCTGTGCCGGCTAGAAATGGAAGCTTTATCTGTTTATTTTTCCTGCAAGCTGTCTCCCCCTCTCAGTAGGAGAGAGAGAAAATTTATAAACATTTCAAAAAAATTGCATGAGTGAAACTTTCTGAAACTTGGGATGAATTATGCCCTAAATATGTTGTTTTATTGTCCAGAAATTCAAAGTGATCCCTCCTGTATTTCTTTCTTTTTTAAAAAAGTATTTGTATAAACGGAATTTCCTAAATATCAGTGAATGGGTGAAAAGTTCTGAAACTTGGTAGGTTAACAAGGGTAAATGTGTCCTACAAGTGTCTCAGGATTCATTCTGATATCCATAAAAATGACAGGGATATTAAAATTAAAAACCCTATAAGTGTGGCAACTTTTGTACTCAAAGTCATAAAATATTTTGAAAGCCTGAAGTTCTCTGAAGCTGAAAGAGTGTGACTTGACCAACCTGCTCCCTGTTCATGGCTCTCTTGTTTTGGCAACAGATGGCATGCAGTTGGGACCTACTGAAACTGTCAATGCACTGAAGTTGATCTGCTTGGTTACCTGAAGAGGAGGATCCTTCAGAATAAAGGCTATGGAACTAGAAAGTAGCAGGAGAACTTGTAGGAAGTGTTATGAACAGGAGGAGTAATTATGGTTGTGAGACAAGAAAGCCAATAGTGGCAGAGACTGTAAATTCTTCCTGCCTCATATGACCGGCCCTGCAGGAGTTTTGATTTTGAAATCCATACTTTTCCAAATATTAGGATTTGAAAAATTCACTATAACGTATACATTCAAATATGTGTACATTTGAAACATTGGCTATAAAGAACATGCATTTTGAGAATTATAAAGAAAGCTGCCTTTATTCAATGAAAACTTCTTTGAAAATACATACATTCCCACTTAAAAATGTGCATATATTGAGAAATCTGAATAATACTATGGTTATTCATCCAGGTCAAAATACCACCTACATAATCTGCAATCTAATGAGGAAATAATACAAAACAAATGTAGCATCACAAAAAAAAAAATCCAAGGAAAGAAATAGGACTGAGCTTTATAATTTTGCCATTTTCTCTTTCCTGTACTCTAAAGTGTTGAGAAATATGTCATGACATACATGTTCAAATTACAAGCAACCTTCAAACTTGAAAAGTCAAAACATTTTGCAAGAAAGTGATGACCAATCAGGGCATTTTCAAAAAGCTGTCTGAACCTAAAGGTTAGCCTGAAGAACAAAAATGTCCAATACACATTTTGTGTTCTCTATAGTTCTGAAAAGATTGGGGTGATCTGATATAAAATGACTTTTTCACTCTTTGAAAGAATGAAAACAAAAGCACTTTTTGAGAGAATTGAAATAGATGTATACTGTCTAAGAAATTGGGAAAATGGATAACAGAAAAATAATATATGGTACATGTGAAGCTTAGATAATAGCTTTAGCTTTTTTGAATTCATGAACTCAAACAAAACTGAAAATGTTTACATAAAATGTACACTTTATGATAAGGGCACTGTACAGAATGATAAAAAATTAGCATATAAACTCCTATTTTTTCCACTGTGTGAGCCTTCATCCAAGCAAACCTCTACTGAAGTAACGTTTTTGCTCCCTTTAACTAAGGATTGCTATATAAAGCAGATATGTGGGGAAATGTTTATTTATGCTTTGAGGCATTTAAAGGTGTCAATTTTATAATCCTATCTAGAAAGCTTCAAACAATGTACTTAAAATTCTGTAAGGTTTCCTTGTTAGTGGTGCAACAAACCTTGCTACTTTTAGCTTTATATCTAAGTCTCACAAACATTGGCCAAGATCCTACATAAAGACGTTGGAGTGTGATGCCACACTAGGTTTGCCAGACAGGAAACTGGAAATGGCTCTGGTATCTTTAATCAGTTGCTT